AGGACGAGAGGGTTACAGAGGGAAGCGTGTTTGCAGATTTGGAAGCACAACATTCTCACCTTCCTGCCTCCAGTTCTGTGAAGTACCATGAGCTGAGATTGAACAGATGTGTTCTATTGAACTGAAGGATAAAAAGGTAGAAAAGTATTTCTAGGAATGTTAATGGCAAGTCACGAAAGAGATCGAAACTCAACCATGATTTTATATTATACGACTTTGTATTATACTTTCATCTTATAAAATCTTCAAATCAGGAAAGGCGACAACTTAAGAGGGAAATAGAAATCCACATCAGGAAAAACCCCAACAAAATCCCTTGCCATCAGGTTAGTTATGACTTGTATTTCTCTTGTGGAGCACCTGGAGGATTCAAACAATCAACCTTTGGGTTAGCAGCCTGGTATGTTGGTATGTTATTAACTAGTCCACGAGGGCTCTGGTGAAAAGGAATCCAGTTATTAAAAAAGTTCAATATGTTAGGCCCTATGAGGTGAATTAACTTAAAGATATACTTGAACAGTCATCTCTGGTACTAGAAATTGTGCAGAATGGAATCGGTATCAGAAAACTAGAAACTATGAAATGCTCTATTTATAGGGAAAAGAGGAAAAGAACAGAGTTGAATACAGTTGAGTCCAGTTAACTATGATCTCCATGAAACTATTGATGTGTTCATTTAGGAGGTGGCCAAGGTTCATCAGGAAATACTTATGCTAAAATATTGGGTTTTTAATGGAGGCAGTGTCTGTCTCTTAATTTCAGGGTACATGATCAGGAGATTATGTAAATGATATTTACAAAAATAATATAGAGGAATGAGTCCTAGTGGGAGCTGATCATGGGAGTGCTGTGTGGAGAACTTTACACTTTAAAGAGATGCCAGGTGAGAATTGTCAGGGAGGGCTAAAGATGAGAGCCCCCCCCACCCCCACTCCTGGGCTCTGCAGCAAAGTCAGTTCTTCGTATTTGAAGTTCTGACTTGTCCAGTCTTTCTACAGTAATCCAGACTGCAGAGCTGGAGTAAGAGTGGAACATTCAAGAGAAGTACATACTGTCTTCTCAGCACAGGAGTTTATCCACCAATGGGAAACACAGATGGCTGAGCTCTCTAGTCCTTGGAGAAGGACATTATGGTTGGAAGGGTGGAAGGTCAGCGCAGGAGAGGAAGTCTGTAGATGAGATGATTGACACATGACTGTGGCATTGGGGTCAAGTGTGTCAGAGACAGTGAGGTTGGCTCAGGATAGGACAAGGTTCAGGGGTATTTTTCATGGGGTTATACGAGTCCATAATCCACTTGATGGCACCTAACAATAACAACAGTCCTACAGGAGTTCAGCAGACTTGGGGCTTCTGCCACAGCTGGAAAGTAGACAGTGGAACTCTAGGTCTGTTCCTTGAAAATAAGCTTGCAGAGGAAATGTGACATGATGTTAATTGCCAGCACATTTGATTAGCTGTGTGGACACTGGTGTCTCAAGATACCCATGATTTGACCTAAATAAAGGAAAAAAAAACAAAACAAAACCTCTCCCTGTTCATGGATAGGAAGACTCAATATTGTGAAAACAACAATTCTACCAAAAGCAATTTACATGTTCAATGAAATCCCAATGTTGTTGTTGTGCCATTGAGTTGAGCATGACTCATGCATGGCCACCATATGAACAAAAGACCTGAACTCTATTTTATAACTATTGTTTTTTTCTCTAAATTCATAGCGTTTCCAGAGGCATGTTGTCTAGGAGGTGGATACCACTCCTGCTTCCAAGCCAGTCTACATCTGGGAGCTCCACCAAATCCTGTCCACCATGAGTAACCATTATGGCATTTGACACACCAGTGGCACGGCGTTCAGTATCACAGCAATGCCAAGTTACCTCAGTACAGTGAATTGACAGACAAGGACTGTATCACTTAGAAGAATGTTCGTACCAAACACAACACCAGGCCTGAGGGCTGTAGGCTAGAGGGCCCAATCAACTTTTAAATCCCAGGCACACCAAATGCTCTGCTCTGCTGAAGAAGGAGGTGCAATCTCCTCTGATTCAAGGCACACAGCAAGGAAAAAGAAGAGGAGGAGGAGGAGGAAAAGAAAGAGGAGGAGGAAGAGGAAGAGGAGAATAAATAAATAAATACCCATGCCCATGCCTCAGGCCCTGATTGGACCTAAACAAGAGGCTTCCAGTCCACAGCTCATTGTTAACCAAATCCAATAATTCCAATCAGCTCACACATGGTTGTGAACCAAATAAAACCAATCAGTTTACACCTGACCTTCAACTAAAACAAGAAGAACCCACCTCTCAGAATCCAAATGGTTTCACATATGAGCCTCCAAAGGAAGGTAATCCCAATGCAGCTATCAAATAATTTTTTAAGGAGACTGAGAGGGAAATTGTCAAGCTTATTTGGAAAGGAAAAAGATCCCCAATAAGCAAAATACTTCTGAAAAAACAAAAATGAGGTGGGAGGCATAGCACTCCCTGACCTCAAAACTTACAATAAAACCAAAACAGCATGGTACTGATACAATGATAGATACATAGACCAATGGAACAGAATTAAGAACCCAGAAATAGAACCAGCTACCTATGGTCAACTGATATTTAACAAGGAAATAAAACCTATCAAATGGGGAAGTGACAACCTCTTCAACAAACAGTGTTGGCAAAACTGGACTGCTACCTGCAGAAAGCTGAAACGGGATCCACAGCTCACACCAAACACAAAAATCAACTCAAGGTGGATCAGAGACCAGGGAGTAAAGCCCCAAACTATAAAGCTCATAAGAGACAACTGGGGATCAAGCTTAGATTGCCAAATACAGACAGAAATACACAATTTGAAGAGGATAAAATTGATGAATGGGACCTTCTAAAGATTAAATCACTGTGCACATCAAAAACATTTTCCAACAGAGTGGGAAAAAAACCATACTGACTGGGGAAAAAACATTTGGCAATACCATTTCAGACAAGGATCTCATACCAAAAGTTTACAGAATCCTACAGGGCAGGGCCTTGACAAGAAAAAACCTGATAACACAATTACAAAATGGGCAAAAGATGTGGAAAGAGTTTTCACAGAGGGAAGATATTTGTATAGCTAATAGACACATGAAGAAATTATCAAAATCACTGGCAATAAGAGAGATGCAAATAAAAACCACAATGAAATACCATCTCACTTCAGTAGCAGTGGCAAAGTTTAACAAGACAACAAATAATAAATGTTGGAGAGGATGTGGTGAGATAGGAACTCTTCTATATTGTTGGTTGTTGTTGTTATGTGCTGTCGAGTCGTTTGCGACTCATAGCGACCCTATGTACAACAGCCCTAAACCCTGCTCTGTCCTGTGTTGGTAGGATTGTGAAATGATACAAGCACTCTGGAAGGCAGTTTGGCATTTCCTCAAAAAGCTGAACATATGACCCAACTATTCCATTGCTTGGAATATACCCCGAGAAAATAAGAAGTGAGGCATAAATAGAGATTTGTACACCAATGTTCATAGCAGCATTATTCACCATTGTGAGAACATGGAAACAGCCCAATGTCCAATGACAATCTAACGGATTGAGAAATTATAGTAAGTTCACATGATGGAATACTATGCAGCATGCAGGAGAAATGATTTTGAAAATCACTACCTAACTTGGGAGGGACTGGAGAGTATTATGCTAAGTGAATTAACTCAGTCCCATAAGAATAAATACTGGTTAAGACCATTATTGTAAAAATAGAAAGATTACTAGTAAAATATGTATGAGGATCCAATGGAGGGGATGGTAGAAGCAGAGGGATAATGATGGGAAGGGGGTTAATTTTAGGGTTGCACAATTTGAGTGGAGGGAGGGTGGATAAAGTAAAGGGGAAAGATCTGGTATAAAAACAATATATACAAACTGTATAAGTAAACCAGTATAAAATAACAATTTTATTTAAAAATGCAAAAAACCCATCATGCATGACAATGATTGTATGAAACACAGTATGAATCAAGAATAATGTGAAACAAAGTGTATACAAACTTTGTAAGCAAATCAATAAAATGAATTAGCAGAAGATGAAGAGATGCCCATGATTTGTCCAAAGCTGCATGTACAAGTCTCTAGGTTATAAATGAAATCCATTCTTAAATAGGTCTATAAGCAAGTCAGAACATATGCATGCAAACTTTCTCATTAAAAACAAACACACAATCAACCCAAGCTCCCGCTCCCCAAACCCATCTGAAGTCCTGTCAGTGATCTCAAAGCTGTACTTAGGGTGAGTGAACATGATGATAGAGGATTTGCTGTGAATGGAAGTTGATTTAAGGAGCCCTGGTGGTGCCGTCCATCTCCTGCTATGCTCCCAGTCCAAAGGCAGCAGCTCTTGGCAGTTGAATTCACCAGCCGTTCCAGGGAGAAAGACAGGCAATGTCCTTCCATGTGGTTTGCAGCCCTGGACACCCAGTCAGCCACGAGTCAGCAGTGCCTACCAGTAGTAACAGCAGGAGATGATTCAATCCCTTCAGAGTGAGAGCAAATTTGCATAACATTAAAGGACAAGCACAAGTTGTGTGTCCCTCAGACACTCATAACCTGGAGACTACCTACAGTGATGAAACCAGAGAGGGACAAAACATGTCTGTCTTCCAGGCTTGACCAGCCACTTCCATCCTACACATTCGCCTTTCTTATGATCAATGATCACCTCTCTTTTTTGAAAGTCACCTCAGAATTCTCTATTCCTCAGTCAAGTCTTTCAGACTTCCCTCCTCCATGAAGCCCACTGGTCCCCATGGCCTGGCTGATATCTGTAGCATAAGCTCTGGACTTCAGGGGTCCAGAGCAGTTGAGCCTTGGCCTACAGGAATGAGGGTCCTGTGTGTCCCTGTACCTCTGTTCACAGATCCCTCTGGGTTGGTGAAGGAGCAGAAAGTTGCTCCATAGGAAATGATCCAAAGCCGTGCCTTACTTACCTGGGCTCTCGGGGCTGCTCTACCTCTTGTCTCAGCTGTACATGACAAGGTTCATCCACTGAGAAATAAACATCCTGTTAGCAGCTGTTGGGTCAATTACAACTCATGGCCACCCCATGGGGGCAGAATTGCTTCACAGGGTTTTCAAGGTGGCAAAACTTTTTCGTTTGTTTGGGTTTGTTTTTTTTTAACATTTAAAATTTTATACTGGTTTGCATATAAAATTCATATACATTGTGATTCATTTATATACATTGTGTTTCACACATTCCTTCACTCACATTGTGTTTTATAAAATAAATCATCGTGGATCTATGCCCACTATCACCCCATCTTTTCAGTTCCCCATGAATCGTTCCTAATAGTGGCAACCTTTTGGAAGCAGTTCACCAGATTTGTCTTCTAAAGCACCTCTATGTGGGTTCAGTCCACCAACTTTCTGGAGAGTTGTCAAGCCCTCAACCAAAGGGGAGTTCGTTTGTCTTTGTAACAATACATTGTAGTTTCAATACAGAGTTGGGCTAAAGCTCAGTCTACTCTCCTCAGGGCTTTCTAGCTAATTCCAATCTAAGAAGGAGGCCTCAGTCGCCTTTCCCAAACCCCATTTTGCTACTCCATTAAGAGTCAAGGAATGAGAGGCAAGAATTTCCTGAGGTCAACCAGCTGACCAGGTCAGGAGGCTCTTTCTGAAACACAGTGGGAGTAATTTTAATGTACAGTGAGCTCACTCTGCTGCTCCTTAGTCCCCTCCTGGATTTACGACTCCCACATAATCCTCAGCTTTATTAAGCTATTGGAAAAAAATAAAATCTGTCTGCCAAGATCCTAAAGCAGCTGTGGCAGCCAGCAATATATTAAGGTGGCCATTGGCGGCAGCCTCCCCCCAGCCCCAGCTTGGCTGGCCTTTGATGAACTGCTTAATATCCTCATGGTGAAAAATGCCCCCTGAAAGCAAGCCAGGAGAGGTAGTCTGGGGCTGCACCCAGCGCCTGGGAGGGGAAGGCAGCTTACCTCTGTTTCTGTCAGGTAGAATCCTTCCCCGTCTTTGGAGAGGTTACGGAAAGCCTCTGAGGTAAAGAAAGAAAGGTTCAATCACGGGAAGGAGAGGAAACAGGCCAAGGTCGGCAGGCTGGGCCCTTAGCAAGAGAACAGCCATGTGGCCATTCTGAACAAGGCCTCCCCCCTTTCCCCAAATGCAGCCCAGCCTCCCACCTCTTCTTCCAGCCAAGTTCTCTATCCACGCATGGGGTGGCTGGAGAGTCACGCTTCAAAAGAAATCTCTGTGAACAGTGGGCTCATACCCTTTTCTTCCAGCATCCTTAGTTTTGAAACTCTCTGCCCTAGGCCTGAGGGAGGTATGGAGCCTTCTTTGACTAAATATTTCATGGACCCAAGTTAGAAGCCTCCCCCTATCTGACTTTGAGTCTTCTGGCTTGTGCCTCAGGCTTCTCTCCTCCCACCCCCAGGGCTCTAGACCCTCTGTCCTTATCGATTGTCTCTTTCATTGGTTTTCAGAGTGCATTCTGCAGAGCCCTGGGGGTTTTTAGGTGGGAGGTGGAGCTCTGGGCAGATGGGGGCAGCCCAGCTCTACTTCACAGTCACTCTGTTTTGAACCTCATTACGGTCTGAGGTTTCACTAGAGTTTTAATTTGAGACAAAAGGTTATGTAGCTAAAAAGTGTCAAAACCTCTGGCCTGCAGAGCTGGATTTCTGGAGCCTAGGGAGAAACTTTCTGCCCTGTCTAGCCACTTGCCTGTGAAATTCCTTCAGCAGAGACCAAAAGTCTGCTGTTGCGCAATTGCAAAGTAGTTTAAACTAGACACACAACTGGGAGAGGAGACCCAGTGATTGAAAGTAACTCTTTTCCTGAGAGGGGCTGAGTGGAGCGATGGGGGCTGAGGGAGCTGAGGTGGGGAGATAAGGGCAGGTGCAGTGGGTGGTTGGGTCTGTGAGCTTGGTGCTCTGTGATAAGGTTGAAGTCGACAAGTCTCTCTAGGAGCCAATGTCCCTACACAGAGCTCCTACTAAGGCAAGTTGGGGCAAGTTGTCCTGCTCAGGCTGGAAGGTGCTCCTGGTCCTCTCCTGTGTCCCGTGCCCATCATCAAGGTTCCCAGGGAGCCAGCACTCCCATCCCCAGGCTGCACGTACTTGCCATGGCTTCCAGTCTTATCAGGAGGCAGGCCAGGCTGGGGAAGCTCACCCTGCCCACAGGGTCGCTGTACCGGAGGCTCAGGAGGCCCAGCAGCTCTCTGCTGACGGAGATCCCTGCAAGGAAGGCTGGGGCCACAGGGGGGCACTGGTGAGTGGGAGGAGGGAAGTGGGCACAGCTCTCTGCCTCACAAGGTTTTGATGAACCCATTCAAAGCGCCTTAGTGTCACTGTCATTTCCTACTCAGCCGGAATTGGCAGCCCATCCACCCAACATGCTCTGGTTTTGGTGACTGGTTAGCTAGATAACCAAGACACTGTTCTTGTGGGAACCCCTCAGACTTCACAGCCCTCCATTAGTACCCGCATGGGGGAAGATGCCAGGACGTGTGGGCTTCTTTCCCAGCCCTCCACTGTCAGACTTCTCTTTGCTAACAATCTTGTGAAAGAAACTTGCTCTCTCCCTCCGTGCCTGTGGGTTCTTGTGTGGGAAGGTGAGGTCTGTGGAAGTCAGGGTTCAATCCCAAAGTCACTCCTCCAGGAAAGAGGCTGGTCTTTCAAGAAGAGATAGAAACTTAGAAAGTGGCTTCAGGTGGACTGGAGGTCCCTTGTTCTCTTGAGTTCTCTTTGGTCTCTTGGGTTGGACCTTGTCATTGTGAATATCTAGTTATGGGGTCCAGGGAGCCCCAACCACATAGGGACCATTGCATACAGGCCAAGAATCATGGGACATGAGGAGATACTTTCAAGCCAAACCTTCCATCAAGGGGATAGCCTGGTGGCCTGAGAGTCTCTTGTGACCCAATGCCATTTCATTTCTCTGGAATAATTCACAGGGACACCTTTGAATGCACCCTCTAGCTGATCACATTCCCAATGCACCCTGTTTTCTTATCCTTAACTCCATCCCTTCTTTATCTTTCTGGCCCTGACCCCTTTTGTTATTCTGCAAACAACATAAGGTCTCCCCCCTTAAAGTTTAATTTTTAACTGGCAATGCAATAGTTCTCAAAGTGTGATCGTTGGGCCAGGGACATCAATATCCCCTGGAAGCTCATTGATATTTGAGACCACTGAGTTGGAAAATACTCTCCAATAGGTATTCTGAGGCAGCAAATCACATAGGAGTTGCTGACCATCTTTCTCCCAGGAGCAAGTGGGGGATTCGAACTGCTTGCCTTCAGGCTGACAGTGCATCTCCTTACCACCCCGTCCTAGACCTCCAGAGTTAGAAATTCTTGGGGTGGGACACTCTATGTTCTAACAAGTCTTCTGGGAGATTTGGATGCATGCTCAGTGAGCTCTGTGCTCTGAACAACGAATGAGGTGGATCTCTACTAGCACAAGGGCAGAAACCCCCATTTCTACTCTGTCTTCAGACCAGGAGTTGAGCCGGGGGGCCACAGGGCCACTCCTGCCAGAGCTAACTGGGGAGAGGGTGATTTTACATTTTCCTCAGGAAGGAGGTAATTTCCTGACTTAACCTCTCCCGTGATCCATTTTCCCCACCAGCACAGTGGAGATAATGATTCCTGGCCTTCGCGGTCCACAGGGTAGTGTCGACAGTCACAGGAGACGTGAGGAGAAGTTCTTGGTGAACGATGAAGTACTCAGCGCGCCCTACGGCATTATTATCATTACCCCCAGACTGAAAGCTTTTTCCTACTTGAAGCAGATAGATGCCATTTGATTTAATTTAGCCCCCAAACCCTCCGCAAAGAGAGATCATTAGTCTGCAAGTGGATATTTAACCCCGATGGCCCAGATGCTGAGGTGCAAGCATCTTGAAGGCTGAGCTCCAGGTCTGGTAGGTTAACAATCACTCAGGGCTTTTTTCTCACAATTAGCGCTGTGCCAGGGAAGAAAGGCAATTAGGAAAACGGACCTGCCTGTGAGAAGTCAGATGGGGAAGGATGGAGCCCAGGAGTCCCACTCCAGAGCTCTGGGAACCCACAGAGGTCAGTGTAACCCAGGGGAGGACACAGAGACACAGACATGGATGCTGTTGCTTATCTGTCCCCTGACTACTGCCCAGTGTGGTTGACTCAGCCCTACCTACAGAATGTTAAAGATCTCTCTCTCCCTCCCCCACTTACACAGCCCCTAATCTCCACCTCTCAGAAGCACCCCCGTACCTGTGTTCTTTATGGCCTTCCACAGATCGGAGGTCAGGAGCACCCCAGACGCCTTCTGAGAGTTCCGGAAAGCATACTGAAAGGGGAAAAGAAGCCTGTGTGAGGCCCATTGCCACCTGGGTAAAGGCAGTTCTGGAAACCCAGTCCCCAGCCCGAGAGGCTTCCCCACTCACATGTGGGTGAGACTCGGGACAGCAGAGCTGAGGAGAGAGGAAGGCAGGTGTGAGTTACAGCTGCCAGAATCAGCCATCCCAGCTGTCAGCCTGCAGGCTGTGCATTCCTCTCCTCAGCCCGCTCACTCCTTCTCAGCTCCCTGCCAGTCTCTCCTCTCCTCTCCTCTCCTCTCCTCTCCTCTCCCCTCTCCTCTCCTCTCCTCTCCTCTCCTCTCCTCTCTCCTCTCCTCTCCTCCATACTCTGGACAAGGCACCTAAAAATCTAACCAACAGACTACCTGCTGCTTTTGAAGGAGATGTGAGGCTCTCTATAAGAGAATGTGTATATAATAAATGTCAAGAAATCAAACAAAAAAAAAGGAAAAAGAAATATTGAAGAATTGGTGCCTTTGAATTGTGGTGTGGGCAAAGAATATTGAAGATAATCCTATGGACTGCTAAAAGAACAATTAACTCTGTGCGGGGAGACATGCAGCCAGGGGGCACCTCAGAAGCAAGGACGGTGAGACTTCTTCACCTCACGTATGTGGGCATGTTAGTGGGGAGATCAGTCCCTGGCAAAGGACAACATACTTGAAAACTATCCATTAATAAGTTGCCGCAAATGATGGCAAATGTCTTTCCAAGCACGGTCGTCAATTTAAAAAGTGTACGGCAACGTGTTTAAGGAGAGGCAGACCCTCAATGAGATGGACAGAAACAGTGGCTGCAATAATGGATTATAGTAACAGCAGTCAAGAAACCAGAAGAGGTGTCGCACTGGGGATATCTGCTGTTAAAGAGCTCCTCAAAATGCTAAAGAGAAAGACTTTCAGTTTAAAGACTAAGGTACACCTGATCCAAGACATGGTATTTTCAGGTTGCTTCCTAGGCATCTGGAAGTTGGATAATAAGGATGTAGAAGAATTGATGCTTTTGAATTGTGGTGTTAGAGAAGAGTACCGAATACACGAGCTGTGGAAAGAACAAACAAATCTGTCTTAGAGGAAGTGCAACCAGGGTGCTCCTTAGAGGCAAGGATGATGAGACTTCGTCTCTCATACTTTGGACATGCTATTGTGGAAAGCCAGTCCCCGGCTTAGAAAACTATGCGCGAAGGAGAAGACCTCGATGATGTGGACTGTCACGGGGACTGCAACAACAGATAGATAGGACTGTTGTAAATATGAGGGCGGGGCAGGACTTCACTCTGCCATATATGGAGTTGCTGTGGGTTGGAGACAATTTGACAGCATCTATTGACAACAATAACAAGCCATCAAGAGCACAGATTTTAGAGGCAAATGACCTTGTTTTAAAGCCTGTTTGATTATTTATCAGCCCTGTAACCTCGGAGTTCAGTTTCCACAGCAGTGGTATGGGACTCGTTACAGTACTACCAGAGGTCTGTGATGTGGAGTAAATAAATAATAAGAGGTTCTAAAGGGCTTCGAGAATGCCTTGTGTGGACTGCACGGTGGTTCCAAGCCCAGATGCAGGCTAGAATGACACCAACACTCACCCACACAAGATAGCTCCCACATTCAAATGGAACTTCTCTACCTCTGCCTGGTTCTCATTTTAATCTGGTTCACCATCCTTACTTCACGAATGAGGAAACTGGTGCTATGGGAGGGGAGCCGTGCTCCTTGGATTGCACACGAAGTGCCAGAGGCCGGATTTCTAGCCCATCCTACCTCACAGTGACCTATGGGGGGTCATAGCAAGGCTCTGCCCCTCAGCATTTCCAGTGGCCGAGTTTTAAGAAATTGATCTGCAGGTTTTTCTTTCAAGGCATCTCCGGGTGGGCCCAGTCTTTCAACTTTTCAGTTCACTTTTAACACTCTGGGGCTTGGAGTAAATTCAAAACCCTTAAATTTGAAGGAAATTGGAAAGATCTGGCAAGGAGCTGAAAAGACGAGGTAGTGGTAGGCAATGGTGATTAATTTTATAAAACACAGTGTAAGGGAATGATTGTACAAAACACAGTGTGGATGAAGAAGAGTGTGATACACAATGCATACGGATTTTATATGCAAACCAATATGAAATAAATCACAAAACCCAAACAAAACCCCCATTAAATTTGATCTATGCATGCCTTCCTGATCCAAAGGCATGCTACTTCACAAGTAGTGTGACAGAAGCCAACTGTGGGAGAAAGGCTGTGAAAAGGGCAGCTTCTCTGACCTTTTGTGGCTCTTGTTGTAGTTGCTATTGTGTGCTGTTGAGTTGGAACCAGCCCATAGCTGACCCTCCATCAGGTTTTCAGAGGCAGTAAATCACATGGGAAGAGATAGCCCATCCTCCTGAGGAGCAGTGGTGGATTTGAACCATGTGCCTTTGAGATTGCAGCTCAGTTTCTAACCATTAGGGCACCAGAGTGGTCATAAAGGAAGACCTGAGTGTTCTGAAAGAAATATTAACTTGTTCATTTCTCTCTTTTTTTTTTAACTAAGCATTTGTGGGTCAGAAATTACGTAAGGTGTTGAGGACAGAAGAGGACCACATGGAACCCTTTTCCTGGAGGACCAGAAAGTTAATGGCAGATGGTCATACCAGCACAAGGCCAGGCAGTGAACTCAGTGACCCACAGGGAGTCAGTAACACATCCTGGTGTTTTACTGAATCTTTAAAAATATGTAGAAACTGACATATAGGAAAGCTATTTTTTTTAAAGCAGGTTATACTTTTATTTCAATATCATGTGTCTAAATTGCTAAGAGGTGCAAATGAGCTGAATGACTGGAGGGCCAAGTCCATTCAGAAGGTGCGTTGGAAGAAAGGCCTGGCAATCTATTTTGGAAAAATTCACCTTTGAAATCCCTAAGGAGCACAGGTATGCTCGGATAGGGATGTGGGCACCACAAGTCAGGATGGACTTGGTATGCACGCGTACACACGTATGTAAACATGCACATACTGGAGGACAAATGTTGAAGAATGTTCACTAGGTGATAATACTTCTTTTTAGTTGGCGCATCCGTGTTGGGTTTTTAAATTTCTTTTTGCCCATTTGTATTTTCTATTGTTTCACTATAAACAAATATTGCTTTTATAACATGCAGATGCTATTTATAATGATGCAAATAAGGCAAAATTATGGCCTGCCCTAACAAGTGTGGGCTTAGATAGATGTTAGGAACCAGGGAGATGGAAACTCTAGGGACCCAGGGCAGCTTGGTCTTTGGGGAAGGCTCAACAGACAAGGCATGTTGGAGGCTGCCTCTCAGACTGAGTGGTCACTGGCTGGTCTTGGAATGAGAGAAAGAAGAGGTTAAGGTCAGGGGCAAGGGCATGGTGCTTACAGGCAATAGTGCGGGGCTCTGAGGTAGGGCTCTGTAAGTGGCTTCTCCTGGACCCAGAATTAGAAGGGCTTGTGTGCCACTCGGAGGAGCTGAGAATGTCCTGAGATTAATGAGGAGCCACTGAGGCCTCAGACCACATCTGTGCACTTGACAGGCCCTTCCGGCAGATGGATTGGGAGAGAAGGGATGGCTTGTGGAGAGAGGATCCTGCAGTGGGCCCGGGAGAATGAGGAGGCAGTTGGCAGTTCAGCTACAATCCATATAGACCTCTTCCATTTCCAAACTCCTAAAGCACTCCCACTCTGCTATCAGGAGTTGCCTTGTGCGTCCTGATGTTGTAGCTTTCCTAATAGAATGCAAGTGCATAACCGCCATCCAAGCAGATATATGCACACCCATGTTTATTGCAGCTTTGTTCACAATAGCAAGGAGTTGGAAACAACCCAAGTGCCTATCAACAAACTAACGAATAGAGAAGCTGTGGTATATTCACACAATGGAATACTACACTGCATTGAAAAACAAGGAACTCAATATTATTAAAAATGGGTGACCCTGGAGGACATTATGCTGAATGAAATATCTCAGTCACAAAAGGACAAACACTGCATAGTGCCACAGCTGTAGAATGGGACTGACATCAGGGTTGGGGTAAGAACGAGAAAAACTGGATAAATTATGTATACTGCATTGAAACAGATGAGGGAGAGAACAGGTTAAAAGAGATATATGAAAGGGTATTATGGTTATCACAAGAGTTCAGAATGAAGGTTGCCTAGTTGAGTATACTCAGGGTGGCAGGGGTGGGGGGGAAGAAGGAATTTTTCTTTTACTTTTCAAAGAGAAGAGCAAACTGGGGAGGGGGAGGGACGGGCAGGGAGAAAAGTGCAACAGTGAATGACTGCAAATCCAAAATCTCTGTAAATGTTCATTAAAATGAATAAAAAAGAAAAAAAAAAGAATGCAAGTGCCCCATGAGATGGCCTTCTTTCATGACTCTCAAACCTGAAGCAGAACTGGGAACACAGGTGCAAATGGATAGCACCCTGAGCCGCTAACCAGAAGCTAACCAGAGTCACCAGAAGCACCTTCCAAGGCAGAACTGCCTTAGAATGAAGGTGAGACGAGCTACTTTCTAAAATATAACCTCTGAAAAACCCCATGGAGCCCGGCTCTACCCTGACACTTAGGGGTCGTCATGAATTGGACTCAATGGCAAGTTTCATTCTGCAAATATTTGTGACACTGACTTGAAAAAGAGTTAGCTGAGAGATAATGTGTCACATACCTGGCAGTCAGACAGCATGGTACCGGTACAATGACAGACACATAGATCAATGGAATCGAATTGAGAATCCAGAGATCA